ATCAGCTTAAGGAGATTTTGGGCTGAGACGATGGGGTTTTCTTTTTTCTTTCTTCCTTTTTTTTGAGACGAGTCTCACTCTTCTCGCCCAAGCTGGAGTGTAGTGGCGCAATCTTGGCTCACTGCAACCTCCACCTCCCAGCTTCAAGCAATTCTCCTGCCTCAGCCTCCTGAGTAGCTGGGATCACAGGCGCCTCCCACCATGCCCAGCTAATTTTTGTACTTTTAGTAGAGACATGGTTTTGCCATGTTGACCAGGCTGGTCTCAAGCTCCAGACCTCAGGTGATCCATCCGCCTTGGCCTCCCAAAGTGCTGGGATTACAGGTATGATCCACTGCGCCTGGCCGATGATGGAGTTTTCTAGATATACAATCATGTCATCTGCAAACAGGGACAATTTTACTTCCTCTCTTCCTATTCAAATACTCTTTATTTCTTTCTCTTGCCTGATTGCCCTGGCCAATAGTATTCCTATTCCAATACTATGTTGAATAGGAATGGTGAGAGAGGGCACCCTTGTCTTGTGCCAGTTTTCAAAGGGAATGCTTCCAGCTTTTGCCCATTCAATATGATATTGGCTGTGGGTTTGTCATAAATAGCTCTTATTATTTTGAGATACGTTCTATCAATACCTAGTTTATTGAGAGTTTTTTGCATGAAGGGGTGTTGAATTTTATCAAAGGCCTTTTCTGCATCTGTTGAGACAATCATGTGGTTTTTGTCATTGGTTCTGTTTATGTGATGGATTACATTGATTGATTTGCATATGTTGAACCAGTCTTGGATCCCAGGGATGAAGCCAACTTGATTGTGGTGTATAAGCTTTTAGATGTGCTGCTGGATTCGGTTTGCCAGTATTTTATCGAGGATTTTCACATCGATGTTCATCAGGGATATTGGCCTGAAATTTTCTTTTTTTGTTGTGTCTCTGCCAGGTTTTGGTATCAGGATGATACTGGCCTCATAAAATGAGTTAAGGAGGAGTCCTTCTTTTTGTATTGTTTGGAATAGTTTCAGAAGTAATGGTACCAGCTCTTCTTTGTTCCTCTGGTAGAAATCAACTGTGAATCCGTCTGGTCCTGGGCTTTTTTTTTTTTTTTTTTTTTTTTTTTTTTTTTTTTGAGACGGAATCTCGCTGTGTCGCCCAGGCTGGAGTACAGTGGTCGGATCTCAGCTCACTGCAAGCTCCGCCTCCCGGGTTTACACCATTCTCCTGCCTCAGCCTCCCGAGTAGCTGGGACTATAGGCACTCCCCACCTAGCCCGGCTAGTTTTTTGTATTTTTTAGTAGAGACGGGGCTTCACCGGGTTAGCCAGGATGGTCTTGATCTCCTGACCTCGTGATCCGCCCTTCTAGGCCTCCCAAAGTGCTGGGATTACAGGCTTGAGCTACCGCGCCTGGCCGCCCTGGGGTTTTTTTGGTTGGTAGGCTATTAATTACTGCCTCAATTTCAGACCTTGTTATTGGTCTATTCAGGGATTTGACTTCTTTTTGGTTTAATCTTGGGAAGGTATATGTGTCCAGGAGTTTATTTCTTCTAGATTTTCTAGTTTATTTGCATAGAGGTATTTATAGTGTTCTCTGATGGTAGTTTGTGTTTCTGTGGGATCAGTGGTGATATCCTCTTTATTATTTTTTATTGGGTCTATTTGATTCTTCTCTTCTTTATTAGTCTGACTAGTGGTCTATTTAGTTAATCTTTTCAAAAAACCAGCTCCTGGATTCATTTGTTTTTTGAAGGGTTTTTCTTGTCTCTATCTTCTTCAGTTCTGCTCTGATCTTAGTTATTTCTTGTCTTCTGCTAGCTTTTGAATTTGTGTGACTTGCTTCTCTAGTTATTTTAATTGTGATGTTAGCATGTCAATTTTAAATCTTTCCCGCTTTCTCCTGTGGGCATTTAGTGCTAAAAATTTCCTTCTAAGTACTGCTTTAGCTGTGTCCCAGAGATTCTGGTACATTGTGTCTTTGTTCTTATCAGTTTCAAATAACTTATTTATTTCTGCCTTAATTTCATTATTTACCCAGTAGTCATTCAGGAGCAGGTTGTTCAGTTACCATATAGATGTGCGGTTTTAAGTGAGTTTCTTAATCCTGAGTTCTAGTTTGATTGCACTGTGGTCTGAGAGACTTTTTTTTATGATTTCAATTCTTTTGCATTTTCTGAGGAGTGTTTTACTTCCAATTATGTGGTCAATTTTAGAATAAGTGCAATGTGGTGCTGAGAAGGATGTATATTCTCTCAATTTGGGGTGGTGAGTTCTGTAGATGACTATTAGGTTAGCTTGGTCCAGAGCTGAGTTCAAGTCCTGAATATCCTTGTTAATTTTCTGTCTCGTTGATCTGTCTAATATTGACAGTGGAGTGTTAAAGTCTCCCACTATTATTGTGTGGCAGTCTAAGTCTCTTTGTAGTCTCTAAGAACTTGCTTTATGAATCTGGGTGCTCCTGTTTTGGGTTCATATATATTTAGGATAGTTAGCTCTTCTTGTTGCATTGATCCCTTTATCATTATGTAATGCCCTTCTTTGTCTTTTTTTTTTTTTTAATCTTTACTGGTTTAAAGTCTGTTTTATTAGAAACTAGGATTGCAACCCCTGCTTTTTTTGTTTTGCTTTCCATTTTCTTGGTAAATCTTCCTCCATCCCTTTATTTTGAGCCTATGTGTGTCTGTGCATGTGAGATGGGGCTCCTGAATACAGCACACCAATGGGTCTTGACTGTTTATCCAATTTGCCAGTTTGTGTCTTTTAATTGGGGCATTTAACCCATTTACATTTAAAGTTAATATTGTTATATGTGAATTTGATCCTGTCATTATGAAGCTAGCTGGTTATTTTGCTTGTTAGTTGATGCAGTTTCTTTATAGTGTCGATGGTCTTTACAATTTGATATGTTTTTGAAGTGGCTAGTACCCATTTTTGCTTTGCATATTTAGTGCTTCCTTCAGGAGCTGTTGTAAGACAGGCCTGGTGGTGACAAAATCTCTCCCAGCATTTGCTTGTCTGTAAAGGATTTTATTTTTCCTTCTCTTATGAAGTTTAGTTTGGCTGGATATGAAATTCTGAGTTAAAAATTTCTTTCCTTTAAGAATGTTGAATATTGGCCGTCACTCTTTTCTGGCTTGTAGGGTTTCTGCAGAGAGATCTACTGTTAGTCTGATGGGCTTCCTTTTGTGGGTAACCTGACCTTTCTCTCTGGCTGCCCCTCACATTTTTTCTTTCATGTCAACTTTGGTGAATCTGACCTTGGTGTCTTGGGGTTGCTCTTCTTGAGGAGTATCTTTGTGGTGTTCTCTGTATTTCGTGAATTTGAATGTTGGCCTGTCTTGCTAGGTTGGGGAAGTTCTCCTGGATAATATCCTGAAGAGTGTTTTCCAACTTGGTTCCATTCTCCCCATCACTTTTAGGTACACCAGTCAAACCTAGGTTTGGTCTTTTCACATCATCCCATATTTCCTGGAGGCTTTGTTCATTCCTTTTCATTCTTTTTTCTCTAATCTTGTCTTCATGCTTTATTTCATTAAGTTGATCTTCAGTCTCTAATATCCTTTCTTTCGCTTGATTGATTCAGCTATTGATACTTGTGTATACTTCACAAAGTTCTCACACTGTTTTTCAGCTCCATCAGCTCATTTATGGTCTTCTCTAAACTGGTTATTTTAGTTAGCCAGTCGTGTAACCTTTTGTCAAGGTTCTTAGGTTCCTTGCATTGGGTTAGCACATGCTCCTTTAGCTCAGAGGAGTTTGTTATTACCCACCTTCTGAAGCCTACTTCTGTCAATTCGTCAAACTCATTCTCCGTCCAGTTTTGTTCCCTTGCTGGCGAGGGGTTGTGATCCTTTGGAGGAGAAGAGGCCTTCTGTTTTTTGGAATTTTCAGCCTTTTTGCACTGGTTTTTCCTCATCTTCATGGATTTATCTACCTTTGATCTTTGATGTTGGTGACCTTCAGATGGAGTTTTTGTATAGGCATCCTTTTTGTTGTTCATGCTATTCCTTTCTGTTTGTTAGTTTTCCTTCTGAGTCAGGCCACTCTGCTGCAGGTCTGCTGGAGTTTGCTGGAGGTTCACTCCCAACCCCATTTGCCTGGATATCACCAGTGGAGGCTGCAGAACAGCAAAGATTGCTTTCTGTTCCTTCCTCTGGAAGCTTCGTCCCTGAGGGGCACCTACCACATACCAGCTGGAGCTCTCCTGTATGAAGTGTATGTCGACCCCTGTTGGGAGGTGTCTCCCCATCAGGAGGCACGGGGGTCAGGGACCCACTTGAGGAGGCAGTCTGTCCCTTAGCAGAGCTAAAGCGCTGTGCTGTGAGATCCGCTGCTCTCTTCAGTGCCGGCAGGCAGGAATGTTGAAGTCTGCTGAAACTGTGCCCGCAGCCACCCTTCTTCCCCCCAGGTCCTCTGTCCCCAGGAGATAGGAGTTTCATATATAAGCCCCTGACTGGGGCTACTGCCTTTCTTTTAGAGATGGCCTGCCCATAAAGGAGGAATCTAGAGAGCTGGTCTGATATCTTTTAATGGGGAATAATTTTTCTTTCTGGTGTAGTTTATCCACGTTTTTTGTTGTTGTTGTTTTTGTTTTTTGTGTTTTTTTTTTTTTTCCAATCCATAAATGATAACTTTGTAAGCTTTTTGGAAGAAACTGATAATTTTTGGAAATTCTGAATTCAATATTTACCTTATTTGTACTATAATACATAACAGTGAGTTTAAAACAGCCAAAGAAAACAAACAATGAGCTTCATGAATTATAACTCAGGACTTATTTTCTCCCTCAGTCAAAAAGAATGTTCAGCTGTGTTAATCTAGAAGGAATTTTGTTAATGTTGATATAATGTTGGCTCTGTTAGGAGTCCCTGAACAGAGTGCAGACATCTTGAGAGATTTAACTTACACAACTCAATTTTCATAAGCATTTCAGTAACTATCCTTAAAGTCATTGTAAATGTTGATATGAAAATTGTTTTCTCAAAATCTTCTGAATAATCAACACTCAAGGAAAAGATTTTAGACAGTATTTTAAGAAATTTGACAGGAATGGAAAATCAGAGGAAGCCATCTAGAAAATTTTACTCCATGGCAGACATGAAGAATTCTTTGTTAGCCAAGGGCGATACTACAGTGCATCATGTACTATAAACAATAAATCCTCCAAGGGTCAGAGAAGGTCTTTAAAGTTCTCTACTGCCATTTTCTTTCCAGGGCGGGGATTCTCTCTTTATCATCCTTGAGAATTATCAAGTATTTTCTAGGTAGTATGGGGTACATAAAAGTAAGAGCAATGTTAGAGGTAAATAGAAATAATTGTTATGTGAGTTCAGAGGAAGGAGGTGTTACTGACTGGGTAATCAGAGATTCTTTGCAGAGGAGGTGGCTCATAAGCAGGAGTTTACTTGTGAAGGACAGGGAGAATTTCACTAGAGAAAAAGCCTGACCCAAGCAAATATGTGGAAATTAGAAAGCATAGGGTGTGTTTGAAGAACAGCAGATAGAATTAAGGGCTGGAGTCTCAGTAGGACATGCAATGTTAATTGTTCTCCGGGAGCATTGCAATCACTTCTAGCAGGGCATATTTGCAATACAGCAGGCAAGGTTTAGGCCAGTAAATTGTTTCCTTCAGTTCTAATTGAGTTAGACGTCATTAGTGCCATTCTTCATTGGGATGAACTGATGAAGAGTCTGTGATTCAGAAAAAGTTGAATAAATATGTACCAAATACCATGTACTTGTAAATATTTATGACATGCTGTCAGTGTAAATTATACTTACTATATGTTTCAAAACATTTTTGTTTGCAAACATTTGCTTTAAAAAGATGCATTTCTCTACTCTCTATATAAAGTTGTGGATTTCATATTGATAAATTTTCAAATGCAAAACAAATACTCCTTCTTATGTATAGACACAGGGAACATGGAGGTTCTGCACCTGTATGGAAGTGAGGAACAGAAGAAACAGTGGCTTGAGCCTCTTCTTCAAGGGAACATTACCTCTTGCTTCTGTATGACAGGTAAATGCCAATCACCATTCTCTCCTTTGTAGTCAGTCATCCTGGAGTTATGGATGAGCTGCAGAAATATAGGATGTGGTTCTGTGTTTCAGTCAAATTTGCTGTTGGCCAAAAATATGAGTATGTTTATTTTGAGCCTGTTATTAAATTTTGGCATTTTCAAATGTTCAGAAAAATATTATCCTCTCCTTTGTTAGAATATCAGATGGTGTTCTCTAGTAGCCTCCTACAGCATTAGCAGCAGAGTAAACTTAGTTTCACAATCTTTTGATGTCATTACTAAAATTGCTGTCTATGAGTATTTAAGATCTTCTTTGCTGTCATGTATGAAATATCTATTTTTGTGATAATTTTGTATTGATACTTACAAAATATTAAACTCTTCCATAAACTCAGAAAAATAGAACTTTCATCAGTACTGGACATATGGCTCAAATTATAATCCTGTGGGAAAATAAAGGAACATATTAATAAAAACAGATTTAATATCATTTGTACATAGGAAGCATTAAGAACGCTTCAGTAGAAAAAAAAATCATTGTTTTGTGATTTAGTTTAGAATTAAACCAAATTTTGCTTGGCCATGATTTTTAAGTGCTTTCAATAATGGCCAGATTTTATTGTTTTGTATAACATTGTATACATTTATACAGTACTCCTCTTTTATCTGAAGGGGATACATTCTATGACCCCCAGTGGGTGTCTGAAAACTGGGGATAGTCCTGAACCTTATTTAGACTATGTTTTTTCTTATACATATGTACCTATGATACAGTTTAATCTACAAATTAGGCATAGTAAGACATTAATAATAACTAATAATAGAATAGAACAATTATAACAATACTCAGAATGGTACACTATTTAAAAATTATGAATTGTTTACTTCTGGAATTTTTCATTTAATATTTTTGGAATGCAACTGGCCTCTCATAACTGAAACCTCAGCAAAGCTACAGATAACAGGGGACTACTATAATAGCAGAACTGATCTCCATTTAAATCAGTAATAGGCATTTATTGAATACCAACAGTGTGATGTATTGTCTACAAAGCACTAGGTGGGGGTTACAAAATAAGTAGAATACACAACCCTCTTTCTAAAAAAAAAAAAGAGTCTTAAGTTTTAGAAACAGAACACATGGAATATCTGAAGGACTCATTTAAAGGGGTGTCGTATTAACAAGTACAGATTGCTATGATTGAGAGCTAGACAGTTCTGAAGTGCCATGCAGTAAAGCGGTTGTCTAAGGGTGTCCCATGGAGGACTTTCTGAAGACCTTAAGTGTTGAACAGGCTTTAAAGAATGCAAAGTATGTAAATCAATAAAAGCATTCATGATGGAATTTGCAAGGCACATTAGAAATTGCTTAAGACGGTAAACTATATGGGAGGAATCTGTCTTGCCCATCAATATTTAGTACATTATGTCCATTGTGAGAAGTAGAAAACAATACGTTTACTACATTTGCTGATTGGAGAAAGGAGTGGGTTGTATCCCAAGTCATATATCAATGAGGAAGCCAAAAATACAATTCAAATTACTGATCCCCAATGTTCAATATACTTCATTCATTCACTCATTCTTCCAGTGCACATTTATTGAATACCTACTGTGTGTAGGTTATGGGAAAAGCTGGGTGGCATGGGGAATGATAGGACGTTGAAAAAGATAAAGATGCCTTTGTTTTTAAAGTTTCCATATCCTTATCTAAGCCTACTGATGATATCTGCCTATGTGTAAATTCAGCTCTTGTTTATTTATAGAACCTGATGTAGCTTCAAGTGATGCCACAAATATTGAATGCAGCATCCAACGAGATGAAGATAGCTATGTAATTAATGGCAAGAAATGGTGGAGCAGTGGTGAGTGTTCAGCCTAATTTTTTCATCTAACTGACTGATCCTTTGTGCCAGATGCTATGCTAGAATAATTCTATGATACATAGTGATCAGTTTCATGATCATAATTCTTTAAATTCTTCATGTGTAGGCCAGGCGCGCTGTGTCACACCTGTAATCCCAGCACTTTGGGAGGCTGAGGTGGGTTGATCACCTAAGGTCAGGAGTTCGAGACCAACCTGGCCAACATGGTGAACCCCTGTCTCCACTAAAAATACAAAAATTAGCCAGGTGTGGTGGCAGGCATCTGTAATCTCAGCTACTCGGGAGGGGAGGCTGAGGCAGGAGTCTCGCTTGACCCTGGGTGGTGGAAGTTGATGTGTGCTGAGATGGCACCACTGCACTTCACCCTGGGCAACAAGAGCGAAACACTGTCTCAAAAAGATGAAAAATTAATTAATTCTGCATGTGAAAGCATTTTCAAACTTAGAAATAGTGGTTGAAAGACAAAGGAATTTTAAAGTAACATATGCTGATTAGGTGATGTTTAAGAGCAGAAAACGGCATTTTTTGTAGTTTTAGAGATAAAATCCGTTAGTGCCTACTATTTTTGACCAATGTAATTGCTAGCAAAATTTAATTTTAGTAGGAGCATATCACATGGATTATAATAATTTACAGCAAAGATTTTTTTAAAAGATAAGTTGTGCATGTTATTAATATAATTTATTGTGGTATATATTTTTATTACTCAAAAATAAAGTGTTTAAATGGAAATAGGACATTTTATGCATGGGATAATATACTTTTTAGTCAATCGGCAGTGATAGACTCATATAAATGGATGAGTTCTTTAGGAGGTTAAGAAATTGGAACCCAGATGAAAATGATAATCTGAGGATTACACCTAGACTATACATGGTAACTCTAACATTTGTCATGATAACCAGTTAGTACTAAGAAAGTTGACATCATAGAGTCAGATTGTCTTTAGGAACTTACCAGAAATGTTTTGAAAAGAATCAGAAAAGCTTATTATAGTTTTTTTTTTTTTTAATTTCTTTTTTGGAGGAGGTGGGTTTTATAAAATTACTTACAAACTAAAAAAAAAAAAACCAGGAAAAAAGATACGAGTTCTGCTGCATACTTATTCAAGTACTAAAATTATGCAGGGAAATTGTTCTTGTATTAAAACTCAGATAATTAAAAATATTTATGAATGCCTTTTAACATGACCCTCTTTAATAATCTGTTTTAGATAGCCTAACTTATAGCATAGTAAGTTTGTTTTTTTAACTTTTATTTTGAAATTATTATAAATTCACAGGAAGTTACAAAGATGGTACAGAGTGGCCCTGGGTACCCTTCACCCAGTTTCCCTCAACGGTTTCATCTTACATAATTATACTATAATGTCAAAACCAGGAAATTGAAATTGGTACAATGTGTATATACAGTTCTGTGTCATTTTATCACTTGTGTAGATTTGTATAACCACCACTGCAACCAAGACAAAAAATTATCACCTCAAAGCTCTTCTTCTTTATAGCAGAGTGTTCTTATTCACTTATGCCTGTTACTATTATTTTCCTTTGTTCATTTTAATTATCATGTTTTGTACATTTATTATCTTGTTTCCTCTTCTTGGCTTTTATTTCTCCCCCTTCTCCCAACCCATTCTTTATTGTAAATTGCGACCACAGCATTTGAGATTTGAGTTTCAGAATAATGCAAATGTTTTATTTGAGGGGGAAGCATCATTCATATGTATCCAAGCAAAAGGCAGAGCAGTTTTATCTTTAAATGCTAAAAGTACTGGTTGGCTCTGTAGGACCCTCAGAATCAAAACGAAACTCCTCCACACTTTGTCTCTGTCTTCTCCAGGACCCATATTTCTTGGCCACTTTCATAATGTAGTTTTTGAAAGATGCTCCCATAAAAACATAAAGGATTGGGTTGAGGCAGCTGTGAAAGAGTGCGATGCTTTCTGTGATTTGGATGGCAATGTCCATGCGTTTGCTCATGTTGCAGTTGGTGATCAGGGAGTAGATGATGTCTATGGCTCGGCAGAACTTGACAATGTTATAAGGCAGCTGAGTGACAATGAAAACTAGAACCACTGTGAGCAGAACTTTTAGGGGTCGAGATATTTTAATGTTTGGCATCTTCATGAGTGTCCTTGCAGTGATAAAGTAGCACACCCCCATAATAAGAAAGGGTACTACAAATCCAATGCAGATTTCTAGCATTTGAATCGATGCTTTCATTGATGTTCCTAGGTAGTGGGGAAAAATGGGAATGCACCTAGCATTGTCATTTACTGTATAAAAAACCAGCTGGGGTATGCTCAGCAAGATGGCAGCCATCCAGACACAGAAACAGATGACCCAGCATGGTTTTCCCACTGCTGATTGGCTGGGGCCTTTAGTTACTGCCACGTATCTGTCTATGCTGATACAAGCCAGAAACTGCATTCCAGAGACAAAGTTTAGTGTGTACAAGGCTGAAGTTATTTTGCACATTATTTTCCCTAAAACCCACCCATGAACTGCATTAACAGCCCAAAAAGGCAGAGTGAATAGAAGGAGTAAATCTGCCACAGCCAAATTCAGGATGTACACATCTGTTTTGGTTCTCTGTTTCTTGTAATAGGCATAAATTGCCACTACCGTGGAATTGCCTGCAAGTCCAATGACAAAAGCTATTGTGAGGAATACAGGGAGGAAAACTTTTGCAAATTCTCTGACGTCTTCTTTGATACAGATCAATTCATATTGACTGTAGTCATAAGAGCCATTCGTTTCATTTTCCTCATAATAATAATCTGTTGACTGGTTCTGTTCCAAAGCCATGGCTCCAATCTAGATGGCAAAGAGAATACAGGATAGATATTTGTCTAAATATGCTTAAAAGGAAACAGTTTTTTATCAAGCTGTTTTGTTCTTTCCCTAGAGTATAGCCTGTTGCTGTAACATGTGAGCCTGAATCTAGCACTCTTTGAAATGCTTTAATGGGAGCCACATTGGAATATGACCCCAAGATTAGTTACTCAAACTTTGCTTGTACAATTCTGTGTGAAAGAACTGGGATTTGCACAGGGCAATAAACATAATGCCCTGGAGAATTTTCTTAATCATTAAATCCTAAATAAAAGTGAAGACTTTTATGTAAAAATGATTTTTAAAATATGAAAATTTAATTAGATTTTAACTAAAAAGAATAAATAGTGTTATAATCTTTACATACATAATTTTGTGAATCTTAAAAGTATATCTACAACAAATTGAATAAAAATGAAAATAGTAAATTACTTGGTTTATTTAATTAAATTTTTGATTTTGATGTTATTTATAAATTTAATTTAAATAAGTTAAATAAATTCTCTCAGCATTTGTACTAAATTTCACTAGTTGCCTTTTATAAAACAAGATCTCCTTTAGCCATCTTCCCTCCAAAACTGGTCACTACTTGCTTATTTTATACTGTTTTTAAGTAGCACCACTATCCTCTAGTCATCTAAACTGTGAGCCTGCTTCATTCTTGTCTTCTATCTTACCTTCATCCCTGATTCCCTATCAGTTCCTAAGTTCTGATTCTGCCTTCCAAATAGGTCTTGAATCTGTCTTCTCTTAATCTGCATTCTTCCACACATTTGCACAATTTAGCTATTATGTTTCTCACCTAGCCTACTGCAATATCTTTCTTTTTTAATATTTAAGTTTTAATTTTTTTTTTTTCCTTTTGAGATGGAGTCTCGTTCTGTTGCCCAGGCTAGAGTGCAGTGGCGCAGTCTCAGCTACTGCAACCTCCGCCTCCCGGGTTCATGTGATTCTCCTGCTCTCGAGTAGCTGGGATTATAGGCACACACCACCATGCCTGGCTAATTTTTTCTATTTTTAGTAGAGATGGGGTTTCACTATGTTGGCCAGACTGGTCTTGAACTCCTGACCTCGTGATCCACCTGCCTCGGCCTCCCAAAGTGCTGGAATTACAGGTGTGAGCCACCGAGCCTGGCCTATTTTTAAATTTAAATCCATTGATTGATTGATTGATTGTTGTAAGACTGTTTAACTTTTGTATTTTTGATGGAGACGGGGTTTTACCAGGTTGCAAAGGCTGGTCTCAAACTCCTGGGCTCAGCAATCTACCTGCCTTGGCCTCGCAAAGTGTTGGGGTAACAGACATGAGCCACCGCACCTGACCAAGCAGTATCTTTCTAACTGATACCCTGTTGTTACTCCTCCTCAATACCTCCTTGTCAAAAACGTTTTTCCTGTTTCCACCGGAGTATTTGATCTCTGAATTGCCAGTCTGCCTCTCCTCTGTTTTGTTCCTCATCTGGAAGACACATCTCTTCACCTGAAAGCCACAATCCAAGCTCCTAAGCATAACACCCAAGGCTCCCTTCATAATGCAGTGCCATCCCTGGGTCCTGCCACCTCTCCCTACTCTGTGTCCTATGCAGCAGTGGGCTGGCACCCACCATGCAGCAGCATCTGTCTACATCATTGCTCATTCTGTTCCTCTATCTACCATACGATTTCCTGCCCTTCCCTGGAAGGGCCAATTCCTACTCAATTAACGCGGATGCCACCTCCCCAGAAGACTTTCCTGATGTATTAGCAATCTCTACATACCTCTCAGAGAACTGATCCATTCTATGGAAAGGATGCGTTTCCCATACTACCTTGTTCCTCTAGGTTTTAAGTTCCTCAAAGCATGACCTGTTTGATTTGTGTTTGTAAATAGAATCTTGTTAATGTGCCTGGCACAAAGTAGCTTCTCAGTAAATATTTATCAAATTAAAGGTTTTGCCAACAGATATAAAGCTGTTACTCTAGAATGGATAGATAGTATGCCAGCAATCTTCTATGTCAACATTGTTATTGCACTGTGTTGGCTACTAGCACCCCGTAGTATTAAGATAAGCTTGCACAGAATTCATAAGTTTTGGAATGTATGGAATGTATAAAATAATGACTTTCAGTGTTTTTACTATAGTGCTGAATTTCGTTTTCCTTTTTCTTTAGACTTTCTATCTTCCTTGGGTTGTTTTTGTCCTTTTAAGTATCTCAAATATTCTTACAGAATCAATAATGAAAATATTATTTCTAAAACAGTGGGCCAACTTATAGTACATTTTTAAAAGAACATTCTTACATTTGCTAACTTTTTTTTGAATGAATATAGCAAAGAAAAGAAGGCTGTGAAGAAAGATACCACATAGCAGAATTGCTTTCATTATGTAAAAACCAGGTGCCCACTTTTTTAAATGACTCTTTTGATCATTAAGGTTAGTTAAAAAGTTCCAATCTGGAAGACTACTCTGGTCTTCATGTTCTTATGCATTAATTATTAACACAATATGAACCTTGTTCTTCCTTTCTCTTTCATAAGAAAATCTTGAACCTGATGATAAGGAATAATATGGCCAAGTATTATAATATATTAAGGAAGGGAATTTTTAAGTAAGAATTAATCTTACTAAAAATGTGAGTAAAAAAGAGTAGAAATGGAATTATTTGCAGAAGTGATCCTTCTGGCAGATATATAGACACACTTTTAAGTGTCTTTGTAATTACTATTAGAACAAAAAAAAATCAGTACTTGTAAAAGAAAGTGGAAAAAAGTGGTATAACAAAACGTATTTTCTCCTTAACAAAATTTTACCAACAAGTAATGGTATTTAAAATCATATTTTCTTCTTGCTGTATTAAGATTTTCATTTAAGTTTAAAGTGTACAGCTGTTTCAAGTAACTTTTTTTTTGTTTTACAAGTAAGCATTTAAACTTTTATGCATCAAGACGCCCTCTATATAAGTAAATATACAAGGTCTTTGGGCTTAAAAAACATATTCAAGTCAGAATGAGAAAAGAAATAAAGTACCAACCTGTTGCAGTCGACAGAGAGGAGCAGTCTTGAGTACAGAGTGTAAAATCAAATGACCTAACTCCAGCTACTTTTGTTTTCACTTTACACCCCGCCTTTATCTCGTATCCAAGAAGGCTTTCCTGAAATTTAACCTTGTGAGCACTTGATCTTTTATTTCCTGTAAAACCATCTGTGAAGTTACATTCAACTTCTTAAGTGGTTTAGGTTACAAATTTGAAAAACATCCATCTTTTTTCAAAAACTACAGACCTTTCCAATTTCCACTTAGTTAAAGGGGACAAGAAAGTGCCTGCAGCTGAGCTACTGACTGCTGAAGCAGAGGGAGAATCCACCTGAGGGCATCTAGGCAGCACTTGTAGGTAGCATCTAGAGAAATACTCTCTAAAGTTATTTTGCCTAAGAAAGAAAGCAAATATGATTTTAACCAAGGAAAATATCATTTTGAAGACTAAACTATCAAAGATTAAATTATAAGTAATCATTAGGTATTTGCAATAGAATTTAACATTTTTATGCCACTTCATTTAATATTTAACTATTAGACTCCTCCTGGCTTCACTGTACTTCCTCTATCCTTGTCCCAGACTATTTTCCCATGGCTTTAAACTCTCTTGCTTTCTTGTTACCTTTTTTTCCCAAAGCTAGAATACGAACCTTCAAAATCCTTCAGTCTGGGAGACTGTTTATTTTTTCCACATTTCCACACACATAAGTTAGAGAAAGAAGAGACATTTGTGCCGATTTGGCCCTCATCGTCTATTTGAACTTGGCTGTCCTCAAATTTGCATGGCAGTTATCTATTTTTTCATGCAAGGCCAGGCTCAGTCTCCACCTGCAGAAATTATTTTAGACCCATGCCATTTTTTCTTTTCTTTTAAAAAAAAAAAAAAAAAAAAAAAACTTTTAAGTTCAGGAGTACACATGCAGGTTTGTTACACAGGTAAGCATGTATCATGGGAGTTTGTTGTGCAGATTATTTTATCACCCAGGTGTTAAGGCTAGTACCCCTTAGTCATTTTTCTTGATCCTCTTTCTCCTACCACCCTCTACTCTTAGATAGGCCCCGGTGTGTTCCTCTCCATGTGTCCATGTGTTCTCATCATTTAGCTCCCACTTATAAGTGAGAATATGCAGTATTTGGCTTTCTGTTCCTGTGTTATTTTGCTAAGGATAATGGCCTCCAGCTCCATCCACGTGCCTGCAAAGGACATAATCTCATTTTTTATGGCTGCATAGTATTCCATGCTGTATATGTACCACGTTTTCTTTGTCCAGTCTATCATTGATGGGTATTTAGGTTGATTCCATGTCTTTGCTATTGTGCATAGTGCAGCAATGAACATAGGCATGCATGTGTCTTTATAAGAGAATAATTTATATTCCTTTGGGTATATACCCAGTAATGGAATTATTGGCTTGAATGATATTTCTGTCTTTTGTTTGAGGAATTGCCACACTGTTTTCTACAATGATTGAACTAATTTACACTCCCGCCAACAGTTTATAAGTGCTCCTTTTTCTTCACAACCTCACCAGCATCTGTAATTTTTTGAGTTTTTAGTAATAGCCATTCTGACTGGTGTGAGATGGTATCTAATTGTGATTTTGATTTGCATTTCTCTCATGATCAGTGATGTTTAGCTTTTTTTCATATGATTGTTAGTGGTATGTATGTCTTCTTTTGAGAAGTGTCTGTTCACAATCCTTTGCCCACTTTTTAATAGGGTTGTTTTTTAAATGTAAATTTAAATTTCTTATAGATGCTGGATATTAGACCTTTGTCAGATGCATAGTTTGCAAAGATTTTCTCCCATTCTGTAGGTTGTCTGTTTACTCTGTTGATAGTTTCTTTTGCAGTGCAGAAGCTCTTCAGTTTAATTAGGTTCCATTTGCCAATTTTTGCTTCTACTGCAATTGCTTCGTCATGAATTCTCATAGTAGCCTACAAGATCCTACAGGGTCTGCCTCCATCCCTCATTGTCTCTCTGACCTCATTTCACACTACTCACCCCTTTGCCTACTTGTTCTGCCACGCCCAGCTTCTTGCTGTTTGAGAGCATACCAGTCACAGTCCTATTAGGGCTTTTGTGCTGGCTCTTCTGTCTGCCTGGAATGTGCTCTGTCTTAGTAATTGCAAAGCTCACTTCCTCTTCTCTTTCAAATCTTTTCCCAATCACCACCAACTCACTGAGGCAATTCTTGACCACTCTACTTAAAATACCCCTCACCCACCTGGACTCCCAGTCCACCGGACCCATAGCACTTATCATGTTCTAATGCACCATATCATTTGTACTATGATTGCCGTAAATTGTCTTTCACCCTGTATTAGAATATAAGCTTCATCAGGACAGAGACTTTTGTTTGCTTTGTTCATTGATATATCCCAAGTACCAAGAATAGTATCTGGCACATAATGACTACTCAAAAATATTTTGAATTAATAAAAAAATTCTACTCTCCACTTTGATTGTTATCTAACAACTGGTCTGTAACTGCAGCCTCCATAATTATCAGTTGATAATCTCTTTGGTCTTTCTATGTAATACACAATACTGACTTGTAGGCATTTGCAAGTACTCTTACTCCTGCCTAGCACACTCTTCCCACCCTATTTTAGATCCCTAACTCCTATTTACAATTCAGATTTAGTTCTGACCTTAACATTAATCCAGAAAGCCTTCCATAACTCTTTCAGATTAGATCAGATATACCTACTCTTCTATAGTCTTTTCACTGTATTGTTGGTACTTATTTAAATTTTCTTCCATAGCTGTCTTATACCCTGCTGTATCCTCAACATTTGGCTTGGTACCTTACTCATGGTACCAGCTTAATGAATAATAATTAAATTCATGAATCAATCAACTGATGTTTAAGTAACTCATCCTCCACAGCCATATAAGTTTAGCAATGGAATTGGAATTCTGAATTCAGATCTTCAGTCTATTTTATCATCTTATCTCTTATATCTCTTTGTTATTTTACGATGCCATCTATTATAGAATCTTGATACTCTTTTATAGATTCAAAAGTATCTATCCCTTTCCTTTATTTACCCCACCCCCAACAATCATAAGCTTTCTTGTAAATGGGATTCCTTTATTGCAAATCGGTTGTAATGCTATAATCTTTACATCTTTTGAATCTACACATTGTTTTTACTAACTGAGACACGTACAAAGCCCTTGAGGCATAGGGGAATCTCAGGATTGACCAGCTTCTTCTGGTAGCGTGTGTATGAATGCTGTGTATAAATCATGGTGTATGAATCATGGTGAAACTAGCTGACTGGCTGGCCTTTTCCTGTATTTTCCCTTTTCTCCTGATAGAACTAGGAGAGACAGTGGTAATAGGGAGAGTTGACAAAATATGCAAAATAAATCATGTAGCTTGGAGGGTAGGCAGAAGCATCACTCACCTTAGGCAACTTTTCAAAGTACTTGCTTGATGCTTGTGTAACTCTCTTCTACTTCTCGTATTCCTAAGAACTGATGATGATTCCATTTTGCTGCTTACCATAAATTGGCTCCTATTCTTAACCTCCCTAACATAGCAGTGTCCCTTGTTCTTGAAGAATCTCTCTCCCCCCACCCATTTCTCATCCCTTTCCTTGTACTGTCATTTTGCTATGTTACCCAGGCTGGTCTCCAACTCCTAGACTCAAACAATCCGCCCATCCTGGCCTCCAAAAGTGCTGGGATGAATCTGTAATTTTGATGAGTATTGCCAAATTGTACTCCACAGAGATGGTATTACTTTGTTCTCTACCAATAATGTATAGAAGTGTCTGTTTTTCTAAAATATTGCCAGTAGAATGTGTTATTTCACTACCACTCTGCTTTCTAAATGACTTGTAACAACTTCAGCACCCCTTACCTACCCTTGCCAGGCATGTGTGAAATACTGGATAACAAACTGCTTTTGAATGTTTCATTATTGCTCTACTCCACATTTATTTGATTAGTGGTAAAGTTAAGCAATTTTAAAAATCTCTTTTATTATTCTTATTTCCTCTTTTTGCAATTGTGTTCTTTGCCCATCTGTATACTGATTTTCAGTATACAATATGATTTCTTTATAATTTAGGGAGCTAAATATTGCATACATTTTGTCATAAATGTTGAAATATTTTCCCCCCAATTTTTTTTGCTTTTTAATTTTATTTTCTAATGTACAACAGTTTTATATGGACAAACCAGTTGATCTTTATCTTTTGATTTTGATTCATTTATCATTTTTAAGTTTTAAAATCCTTTCTCACCCAGAGATTTGATAAATATTATATTATTTTTCTTCTAGTTTTTTATGTCTTGATTTTTTAAAATTTTAAACTCTGATCTATTTGGGATTTATTTTGATCTAACCATATTCTATAGTAACAACATAATAGCAGCAGCCTGTAACATTATTACTTAATTCTTATTATTTAGATGTAAACCTAGAGATGGATTCAGTGAATTTTGAAGATTTCCCTGTTAAAGATACACACTCTAAGAGAACACATGGGATTTTTTTTCTTTAACTGTGGGATTGTACAATAAACATCTTTTTTCTTATAAGGGAAATTTTATTGCAAAATAATACTTACTCCAATTTGAATTGTCAGTATTAAAGCTAAAACCAAATGAAGTTCAATTGTTCCACCTCAGAAATTCAATGTTGGTAGAAGAAACAGCCTTGAGAATTTGTGGATAGCTATCTGTGCTTCATGGTATGTAATTGTTTACATCACTTTCTTAATTGTTACAAACCACACTTTACTCAAAGGTCATGTTTTTTTATCCACCTATCATATCTCCTTTTGTTTGAAAATGATTTTGTGGATAAAAGCCTAAGAAATTAAAAATCACCAACTAACATCAGGGAGATGTAATTTTCAGCCTGACTTAATCCTGGCACTTGAAGAGCCTTGAAATACCATAGTGTCTGGATTAAAAACAAAATTACTTTATCTAGGCCATCCATTTTCATTCATGAAGGCCTGTGACACAGCATATGTGTATAAACGTTCTCTAGTCTATTCAGATTTCCTCTAATATATTTTATTTATGACATTGGGTATCCTGTTCATTAACTAAAATGACACAAACAAGCAAAACTCTCTATAAAAGAAGGTTGTTTCAACTGCTGCACTTGCCAAATTCTGCTTATAGCTAAGGGGAGATGATATCTTTGAGAAGGGTTTTTCTCCTTTTTCTGAAACATCGTTGTTAAATACAAATATTTCAAATTCTACAAACTATGCATTCACCCTTACTTCCTCTACTTAATGATCACAAAAGACATCCAACTTAAAAATTGTATTTTTTAGAATATTAATTGTTCTCCATATAAGATTGAGGAAGACAGAATCAAATAATTATTTGCCTTGCTTCTTGAGTTTCTTCAATATTTACCTGGTATCTGAAATCTATTGGGCATTTATGTAAGGCTGTGGCAACATTTTTGTTTGTTTGCTTTGTTTTGAGACAAGGTCTCACTCTGTTGCCCAGGCTAGAATGCAGGGGCATGATCACGGCTCACTGCAACCTTGACTTCCCAGGGCTCAAGCAATCCTCCCACCTCAACATCCCAAGTAGCTGGGACTACAGGCATGCTGCACCATGCTTGGCTAATTTTTAAATTTTTTTATATAGACGAGGTCTCGCTAGGTTGCCTGGGCTGGTTTCAAACGCTTGGGCTCAAGGGATCCTCCTGCTTCAGCTTCCCTTTTGGGATTACAGATATGAGTCATCATGCCCGGCCAGCATTTTTAAATGATAGAAAGAATGAGGTAAGAAGTAATATTGGGAAGTATTAGATAAAAAATTACATATTCAGAATATTAGAAAAAGAGGGCTTTAGACCAGGGTTCAAAGGAAATAGAAGATTTTACTTCAACTCACTGATGCTGGATATCTAGCATCAGTGAAACCTTGAAAGATTTACCCAAGTGTTCTTGATTGCTAGAATGGAAAGTAGAGAAAGAAAAATATCTCTGAGAATGGGCACATAGACCAATGGAACAGAACAGAGAGCCCAGAAGTAAGGCTGCTCACCTATGACCATCTGATCTTCGACAGGGCTGACAAAAACAAGCAATGGGGAAAAGACTCCCTATTCTATAGATGGTGCTGGGATAACTAGCTAGCAGTTAGTTATCCCATATGCAGAAGATTGAAGCTGGACTCCTACCTTACAACATAGACAAAAGTTAATTCAAAATGAATTAGAGACTTAAATGTAAAACCCAAAACTATTAAAAACCCTGGAAGATGTGTTGGGGTCTGCGTGTTTCCTAAACAAAGGAATGAACACACAAGACAACACAAGACAAGACAAACATGGCGGCCGCCTCGAATGGTGTGCTCTGCTTTATTTTATACAGTTGTTTGTGGAATGTTGCCAAGTCACAAGACACATTGTTGTTTTTCTGACCTTTCCCTGACTTTCTGGATTTTCAAGATGTTTACACATAAACAAGCCCCCAGGGTCTGCTGTTTGCAGCTGGCTCCTTTGTCCTCCTTGTTTACAGGGAAGGAACACCCTGCTTCATTTGCAAGAGCAGGACTTATTGGGAACACCCTGCTTCGTTTGCAAGAGCAGGACTCATCCGGAACATCTCATTTGCAAGCACATAGTCCTCTACAAAGATGACTTAGGCAATACTGTCCTAGACATAGGGATGGGCAAAGAGTTCATGACAAAGACACCAAAGGCAATCACAGCAAAAGCAAAAATTGACAAGTAAGATCTAATTAAATTTAAGAGCTTCTGCACAGCAAAAGAAACTATCAGCAGAGTGAGCAGACAACCTACAGAATGGAAGAAAATATTTGCAAACTGTTTTAATTTAATTTAATGTAACTTAATTTAGGAGAGCTAAGTAATTAAACATGAGGCCAAAGTACGTAAGAAAGTGGCAGTCTTTTATTGCAAATATGCACACACTCTCGGGCGAGGTTCTCTGGTCCTCAGGTGTGGGGGGCCAGGGAAGTCACGCCGGCGCTCTCGGGTGATGTTCTCCGGTCCACAAATGCGGGGGCCGAAGAAGTCACACCGGCTCCTGCTGGCGGCAGACTTTTATGCATTGGTACTGGAAGGGGGAGGGCAGTGGGCGGGATAAGGGCATGATAGGGGCGTCTCCGTAGGCATGGCCGGGAAAGTTTCAATCTCTTCAGATTGACGTCACCTGGCGCATGCTCGGTTGATCTGCATCTTCCCGGGCGTGGGCTGCATTTTCCCGCGCGTGGGAAAGTGGGTGAGGAAGAACCCGGAAGCAACATGGATTGTGCCTTCTTGTTCACCTTCCTCCATCTTGTCCTTTCTCCCTCACCCAAACAGTCCAACCTCTTATTGATTATAAGAATTTGGGGTGCCGTTGTCTGTCTGGCTGCTTCCTGCTGTTAGGGGGCGTAGTTAGGGTCTGAGGTTGGCAGTTGGGTGTAGGGATGCAGGAGCATTTGGTTGAAGGTGACTGGGGTGATCTCTTGGACCCTGGCTCGGAGAAATTTTATTAAAATGGGAGCAAAATATAAGGCAAGGCAGAGGATTAGTATGGGAATTAGGAAATCACAAAGGGCACCCTGCCAAGCTAGGTCTTCTATGAGAGTAAAAAGTTGGGAAACCCACTGGTTGGGGGATGGGTCGGGAAGGAGGGTGTCTATGGGGTTTATGAGGGAAAAGTCAGTTAAGATGAAGAATGGTGAGGAAGCGGGAAAATTTGAGGAGGTTGTTGATCCTTGAGTAGAACCTGGTCACCTGGAGAAAAGGAAGGGGAATAGATGTTTTGAGTTAGGTTAAGATGTCTCGTCCCAAGAGGGGGGTGGGACAAGAGGGCATGATGAGGAAAGAGTGGGCAAAGCATGCATAGTCTGGGCAGTAACAACACTGGGGTCTGGTGAGGGTTAGACGGTTTACTGTCTACCCTAACTACTGAGATAGTGGATGGCTGGCTAGGACCTCCATAGGTTGACAAAACAGAATATAATTGTAAAACAGAATAGGTAGCCTCCGTATTGACGAGAAAAGAAATTGGCTTACCCGCTACCTGTAGAGTTACCCTAGGCTCGGCGAGGGTGACAGGGGTCTCCAAGTGTGGGCACCGTCAGTCGTTGTCCAGGTGTAGGAGCTGGAAGGAGCCTTCCGACCCTTGAGGAGAGGCACCACGTTGAGGCGCAATGCCTGCCCTGCTGGTGGGGCAATCAGACTTCCAGTGTCCTTCCTGTTGGCAGGTTGGGCACGGCGTGGTAGGCAGGCGAGGATTTGGACACTGTTTTGCCTAATGCCCAGTTGTGCCACACTTAAGGCATGGACGAGACAGAGTGGCCGGCTTGGCCTGGGGACACTGGTTTGCCTAGTGTCCTGGGTCTCCGCATTTATAGCAGAGGCCCTTGGGAGACTTGCCCTGTGTCTTCCCTGCCGGCAGAGTGGGCAACGCTGGTTGGAGGGCAGCCACTAGAGCTTGCGCCTGAAGCACAGCCCTTCTTTTCTCCTTGTCTAGCTCTGCGGCCTCAGCTGCTTCCTCTCTGGAGTTAAAAACTTTGAAGGCCAATTTTCCTGTATGGGAGTCTGAGGCCCATCTTCAACCTTTTTTTGCTTTTTTCGAATATCTGAGGCTGACTGGGAAATAAAATAGGAGGCTAGGACAGCTGCCCCGGCTGGGGAAGTGGGCTAGCTGGGTAAATTGGGCCAGTGCCTCTGTAAGGTGATTTAGGAAGGAAGCCGGGTTCTCATCTAGGTGTTGGATAATTTCCTTTAATTTATCAAAATTGACCACTTTGTTAGAGGCTGCCTGCATACCGGCTAAGAGACATTGAATCATAATGTCCTTCCTACGGCGGCCAGGCTGCTGTGGTTGGTAATCTCAATCTGGTTCTATGGACGGGACAGCCATCTCTCCTAACAGGACGGTGGTGTCGGATAAATGCCATTGATCTGCATGTTGCCTGGTGGCTGCGAGAATGTACTCTCTTTCCTCTGGGTTAAGAGTAGAAGTAAGAATGACATGTAAGTCATGCCAGGTAAGGTTATATGCTCTGGCCTAAGTTTCGAAACTCTTTGGAATATTAGGTGGGGTTGGCTGAGAAGTCGCCAAGTCGTTCTTCAATTTTGGAAAGGTCAGCCAGGGAAAAGGGGACGTGGACTCCAACCACGCCTTCGGCTCCGGCAACTTCTGGTCGGGGGGCCAACAAACTAGCAGGGGAGGTTGGAACAGACTGACCAGACAGGCTGACTGGTAGAGGGGGTTGGGGCAGGCTGACTGGTAGAGGGCTGACTAATGGGGGCCGCTACTGCAGTCTTGGAGCGAGTGTGGACAGAAATGGGAGAGGTAAGAGGAGTGGCTGAGGGAGGAGTGTCGGGAGGGGCGGTAGGAAGTCCATAGGGAGGGCGGTTGGAAAGTCGGGAGGGAGGTTGCCTGCCATCGGCCCCATCTGAAATGGAGGTGGAGTCCTCCTCAGTTGCTGAGGTGGGGGCCAAGGGCCGGGTTTAGGGGTTTAGGCTAACAAGACCTGGGCCATTTAACACCGGGCGCACAGGTCTGGGCGAGAGCGCAAGTCCTAAAAGCCTTGAACATAGATTATTTCTGACCACTTTCCGAGCCTCTGGCAGAAATTAGAGAGATCTAATTAAAATGTTACAGTCTAAGGTGCCTTCAGGCAGCTGTTGAGACTGGTCGTCTAATTTATATTGTGGCCACGCCACAGTGGAGAGTAAAATCAGTCGCTTTCGTTTAAGATCTTGCTCTAATTGTAAAGTTTTGAGATTAGTTAGAAGACACCTAAAGGGGTATCTCTAGGTATTTTGGATTGGGGATTTCCCATTGCCTTTCTCTCACCTGTAGGCGGAAACCGAACTCTACCTGGCTACAAAGCGTCCTTTGGAGCCACTAGAGACTGGGAGGCTCCTGGAGCCGGAATGGAGATTACCTCCAGGCGGACGTCTCCGTCCTGGACGGGTCTCACACGGACTGGAATGGAGTTTCTTTGGGCAGACATCTCTACCTTTGGGAACTCTCCTGTGGGTCACCTGGTGACCAAAAAACCTTGGGCCTGCGCAGGACTTCTGGCCAAGGAGTATGAGAGGGAGGCAAGAGATACTCACCCCTAGGAGACTTGGAGGTGTGGAAAGCGATGTCTAGGTCCTGGTCCGTCTGCAGCGTGGAAGGAGGAGGCTCCTCGGACCTTAGGGGGCCCTGAGGAGGGGTCTCCTCCCGGGTTTTTGGCATGCCACAGTGGAGAGGAAAATTAGCCGCTTTTGTTTTAAATCTTGAGCTAAATGTAAGGCTTCCAAGTTTTGGAGGAGACACCCTAAAGGGGTGTTCATAGGGATTTTCAATTGTGAGGTTCCCATTGTTTAACCACCAGAAATGGAAACCGACCTCATGCAGTGGCAAAGCGTCCTTTGCCGCTGCTGGAGACCGGGGGCTCCTGGAGCTACTAATGGAGAATTGAGGAACTTCAAGATGGACGTCTCCGAGTTGAAGACCTCACTGCGCCACAGGGTGGCTACGTCCTTGGGCGTACATACGACTCTAGGCCAAGGACACGGAAACGGACGGAGATGGTTAACAAAGGGGAGTACTCACCGAAGAAGAAATTCTCAGAGCGGCACCAGTGGAAAGCTGGAACACTTGTTTGGTGTTTGTGGCTGGTTGGGTTGGGAGCCGGTTCGCTGTGGAGGAGGTTCGTTAGACCCCTAGGGGATGATGAGGAAGGGTCTCCTCCTGGGTCGGGTTTCAGCACCAACTGTTTTAATTTAATTTAATGTAACAATTTAGGAGAGCTAAGTAATTAAACATGAGGCCAAAGTACATAAGAAAGTGGCAGTCTTTTATTGCAAATATGCACACACTCTCGGGCGAGGTTCTCTGGTCCTCAGGTGTGGGGGGCCAGGGAAGTCACGCCGGCGCTCTCGGGTGATGTTCTCCGGTCCACAAATGCGGGGGCCGAAGAAGTCACACCGGCTCCTGCTGGCGGCAGACTTTTATGCATTGGTACTGGAAGGGGGAGGGCAGTGGGCGGGATAAGGGCATGATAGGGGCATCTCCGTAGGTGTGGCCAGGAAAGTTTCGATCTCTTCGGATTGACGTCACCTGGCGCATGCTCGGTTGATCTGCATCTTCCCGGGCGTGGGCTGCATTTTCCTGCGCGCGGGAAAGTGGGTGAGGAAGAACCCGGAAGCAACATGGATTGTGCCTTCTTGTTCACCTTCCTCCATCTTGTCCTTTCTCCCTCACCCAAACACAAACTATGTATCTGACAAAGGTCTAATATCCAGCATCTATAAGGAACTTGAACAAATTTACAAGAGAAAAACAATCCCATTAAAAAGTGGGCAAACGACATGAACAGAAATTTTTCAAAGGAAGATATGTATGCAGCCAACAAAATATGAAGGAAAGCTCAATATCACTGATCATTCGAGAAATGCAAATCTAAATCACAATGAGATACCATCTCATACCAATCAGGATGGCTATTAATAAAAAGTCAAAAAATAACAGATGCTGATGAGATTGTAGAAAAAAAGGAACACTTAATACACTGTTGGTGGGAGTGTAAATTAGTTCAACCATTGTGGAAAGCAGTATGGAGATTGCCCAGAGAGCTAAATATAGAACTACTGGCTGGGCACGGTGGCTCCTGCCTGTAATCCCAACACTTTCGGAGGCTGAGGTGGGAGAATCAGTTGAGGCCAGGAGTTTGAGACCAGCCTGGCCAAAACCCCAAAATGCAAAAATTAGCCAAGCATGGTGGCACATGCCTGTAATCCCAGCTACTCAGGAGGCCAAGGCACGAGAATCACTTGAACCTGGGAGCAGGGAGATTGCAGTGAGCTGAGATCGCGCCACTGTACTCCAGCTTTGGCAACGCAGTGAGACTGTCTCAAAAAAATCCGAAAACAAAAAGAAAAAACCAGAACTACCATTCAACCCAGCAATCCCATTGCTGGGTATATACCCAAAGGAATAGAAATTATTCTACCATAAAGACACATGCATGCGAATGTTCATTGCAGCACTATTCACAATAGCAAAGACATGGAATCAACCTAAATGCCCATCAATGACAGATTGGATAAAGAAAATGTGGTACATATACACCATGGAATACTATGCAGTCATTAAAAAGAATGAGATCATGTATTTTGCAGGAACATGGATGGAGCTGGAGGCTATTATCCTTAGCAAACTAACACAAGAACAGAAAGCCAATTACCACATATTCTCACTTATAAGTGGGAGCTAAATGACGAGAACTTATGAACACAAAGAAGGAAACAACAGACACAGAGGTCTACTTGAGCATGGAGGGTGGGAGGAGGGAAAGGAGCAGAAAAGATAACTATTGAGTACTGGGTTTAATACCTGGGTGGTGAAATAATCCGTGCAACTAACCCTAGTGACACAAGTTCACCTATGTAACAAACCTTCACATTTACCCCTGGACCTAAAATACAAGTTTGGGTTTTTTTTTAAGAAAATATTTCTAATGAAAATGAACCTCAAATCATGTTATGTCCTAATCTGATTTTCAGAAGTATGCCTACCAAGGAGTATGCCCACACAATGCTTATGTGAGGCAAGTAGCTTTGATCCTTCAGCCTGTAGGCGTCTAGAGAGGCACTGGCCAAGGCTTCCTACAACTAAAACCTCAAAGACAGCCCCAAGTAGAAAAATATTCAGTTGAAAAATTAGAAGCGAACACTCTGTAAATGATTCTTCCTCTTTAATTTCTAACTAAGAATCAAAGCATGATTCCTTATTATTGCATAGCCAGGGATAAAAGATTCCCCCAACTGAGCATTTCCAGATAAGTCATTCAGGTAATATCCACAATGGAAGGTAAGTATTGTCATCTGCCATTAAATCATCTGCCATTAAATCATTAAATCTTTAATGATTAAAGAAGGTTTGTTAATATTCTTCGGGTTGGTCCTCAGATTAGTGGAATTTTGTCATAGTCCATTCAGGCCACTATTATACAACACCAATAATTAGGTAACTTCTAAACCACAGAGATGTATTTCTCATGGTTCTAGAGGCTGAAAAGTCCGAGAACAAGGCACCAGTAGAGTTGGTGCCTGGTGAGGGCCTGCATTCCGGTTCATAGATGGCACCTTCTTGTTCTGTCCTCATATAGTGGAAAAGGTGACTAAGCTCACTCAGGCCTCTTTGATAAAGACACTAATTCCATTTTAATCACTTAATCACCTCCTTTGGGACCTCGTCACTGGCAGCTTGGGAGTTAGAATTCCAACACATGACTTCTAGGGAGGGACACATACATTCAGACCATAACAGTTTCTTTACCTGTTAACATCTATAAAAATCAAAAGGACATGTTCTTGTAAATATAAACAATGGTAAACAATTTGAAAATTTAGATGTTTGGATAAATTAGGAAAGCCAAATAGAGTTACTGTGAAGAATATGACATTTGAGATTTTTGAAACTTAACTTTGAAATATGTGAATGGGGGATCTTTTCTCATTAGTACAAATGAGGATGGTCCTTTCTGAACTGATTAAAACATAGGTTCCATTAAATTTGAAGGAGTCTAAATTATAAGCAACAGTTTTAAAGGCATTGCATTTCAGTCTTAACTATACATATGTTATAGTATGGAATAATGGAGGAGATTAGAATTTTAAGCTCTTGGTTTTATTAGTTTTGAAATTTTAGAGCTTCTAAGATTTCTAATTCTGCTTATGTGATCATTTTGAAGTGAGCATTGCATTTCTCAAATTTCAGCTGATAAATAAAACTAATGTATTTGTCATGAATAAAAATGTAGATTTGTATTCAAATGTTAATGAATGTATAAGAAATTATAACACTGGGTAAGTGAAGACCTGGTTTTTGGCAAAGTTTAAAGGTAAGAACTCTGGAGGAGTTCTATTGCCAGTCTGGTGGAGTAAGTACTTAAGATTAACCTTCCCACAGATAACAACTAAAAAGCTACAAAATACATGCATGCATGCATGCATGCATACATCCATACATACCTGCCTGCCCGAAATTCTCAGGGGAGTGAACAAAAGCCGATTCTGTAGGGGAGTCAAATTTTGGAAAGTGAGATGGGCATAGGGTGAGTTTTTCATTTTTAGACTTTAGCCTGAGGAAAAAGTGTGGAACAGGAAAGCTAAATCTTCTTTGGAAAACTCAGATCTCTGTGTCCTGAGAAACCAGAGGAGAGTGTCTAGGGCAGCCATCACTGCTGGGAAATGAGGTGGGTATTCCTAGAAAGGAAAACGCCAGAAAAGGGGAGCTCCAGCTTTCATGTGGAAACTTTGCTTGGGTATCTGGCTAACTCCTGAATGAAAGTGATGCACAGGGCAACCTCAAAGCACCTTGCGCTAAATAGTAAGAACTACGCTGAAATTTGATTTCTACCTGAATTGTGATACACTCTGCAGTTTTACTCTACCTGAGTTAATTGCCTGTCAAAACAAAACCATCAACATTCTGTGGAGGAATATGACAGAATCCAGAGTTTCAAAACAAAAAAAAAAAACACAATGTCCAGAATACAATCTAAAATTGCTCAACCAATGATGAATAATGAAAACATGACCCATTTTCAAGGGGAAAGGCCAACACCCAAATGATTCAGATGTTGGAATCATCAGACAAGGACTTAAGGCAGCTATTATAAATGTGCTTATTGAGGTCAAGAAAAATAAAACAATAAGAAATATCAGAAGAGAAATAGAAAACATAGAAAATAACCAAGTAGAAATATCAGAACTTAAAGGTAAAATATGTGAAAAGAAATTCACTGACTGGGCTTAATAACATAATGGAGATAACAGAGGAAATAATTAATGAACTTGAAGATAGACAATAGAAATTATCCAATATGAAGAAAAGATATAAAGAAATGAACAATCCTAGGGACCATTTAGTTCTAAAATATGTGTAGAGTTCCAGAAGAGGCAAGAGGGAGAGATTTGCATTTGAAAGAAGAATAAACTCTAAAAATTCTAAAACTGCTAATTATTTTTGATTGGTGTAAAATAAATGTGTTTAACCTGAATTAAGGGTCTTTATCATCTAATGTCAGTGCACATACTAGAGATTTTTTTTTTTTTTTTTTTTTTGAGATGGAGTTTCGCTCTTGCTGCCCAGGCTGGAGTACAGTGGCGCAATCTCAGCTCACTGCAGCCTCTGCCTCCCAGGTTCAGGCAATTCTCCTGCCTCAGCCTGCCAAGTAGCTGGGATTACAGGCGCCTGCCACCACGCCTGGCTAATTTTTTGTATTTTTAGTAGAGATGGGGTTTTGCCATGTTGGCCAGGCTGGTCTCGAACTCCTGGCCTCAGGTGATCCTCCCACCTCGGCTTCCCAAAGCGTTGGGATTACAAGCGTGATCCACCACGCCCAGCCTATTATAGACTTTTTGATGCATGATAAAGTGTTCTACTTGAAAAACATTATATTGTTTAACTTGTATTTATGAAAATGCTTGTATTTTTCTTTTAGTGAAAAATTTATTTTCAGTATAATAATTTCTTATTTTATTTAATAAGATTGTGGAGCAAATGCCCAGAAGGGTAGAGAAAATGATTTTTCTATCTCAGATGTAATATAGACAATAAGTCATATATTTGGGGGAAAAATGGGAGAGATAATTTTGCCCAACATATTTGTTATCTGATTGCAGTGGGACATCTCTTGGTCAATTTAATGCATGTTTTTAAAAAAATTCCTGTTCCAGTTAAGAGTCCTCTCTCTTCCTTTTTAGTCATAGATAAAATCATTTATATGTATATATGATTGTATGTTCTTAGAATTCTGAGACTGTGACTGT